TTGGCAATGAGTTCGAGTGAAGACTTGTGAATAAAAAAATATGTAAGAGGAAAGTTTGTAGATTCAGAGAAGTATTGTTTAGTAGTGGAATTCAAATTATTAGCTATTTCCGGAGAGAAGTACGAACACTCGTTCGTTAGCATACGCCATTCAGTGTTGCCTTTGGATTGTTTTTAGAGATACATGGTGTTTAAGCGAAGGAAAAAGCTTTGATGACTCACTTATTGGAATAACTCCGTGTGCAGAAAGTAATAAATAAGACTAGAAATGTAACGATGTTTTCGTGGTGCCTTCTTGTAAGGCCGCCTGAAAACAAATACACCCGCCAAAATTGTTTTACGGAATTTGTGGTGAAAGAGGATTGAGGGATTGGGATAAACGAGGGGGCATTTGGGTGTGGACAAGAATGTGCAATAATAAAGAAAGTGAAGACGTTTTAATTGTTTTAATCAACATAACATATAAGTGAGAAGGTTGCGGAAGGGCAATAAAGGCCGAAAAGAAGGCCTGCCGACCAGGAAAACCTTTAGAGCAACGCTTTTTACCATTAGGCGGTCTCACACTAAAGCCCTACCAACGTTTGCTTCCCACTCAGATAAACGAACTATGAAAATAAGTCAGCCAGTATCTCCTAAGTGACCAGTCATACCTATGTGAATGTAGTCTCGCCTCGCCCCGCCCCCCAAAAACGTAAGTACCGGCCTTCGATTCTTCAACCCCTTGGTAAACCCCCTCAATTTCTGACCTATCCGTGTAGTCCCTCGACCAACTGTTGTCCGTACTCCATTAAACTGATGCCCTTTAAGTGTATTTGCAGAAGTAACAACCATGAGGACCTATTGTGTTTGGTTCCTTTTTTCAGCTTATTTATACTGTTGCGGCAGTTGGAGAAGGCTAACGAAGCATTTACCAGTCTTCTCCGGAGCGAGACCTTCAGGGAGGAGTTCGAACCCACGGGGAGTGGTCGGCCAACTAGACAGATGGCCGAGGGCATGACGAAGGCACTGGCGCACCTCACCTCGGCTGCAGAGTACCTCCGCGCCCGTCTCTACGGTAAGGATTTTGAGGGAATAGAGGAGGACGAGAAGGAATTACCCTCTAACTACGACGGTGATGACGATATCAATGGAAACAAGGGGGACAACGCGCACCCCGAATGGGAGCCCAGACACCCTACACCACTGCCCTATCCCGTTATTCTTCGCCCGCCAAGAGGTCAATATCTTGCATTCAACGAAGAGGAAGAAAGTGAGATCTGAACATATGCCTTGTGTGTACATGAATCTGTGTACAGACTTCAAAGCCTCAACTGAATAGACTGGTCATTTTCATTAGGCGGTGAACCTTCGGACAAAATGCCTCTGTCAGAACCATCGTCTGGTCCCAAGTACCAAGGCACGATTTTGGCCAATCAGCGACCATAGAAGCACAAATTCGAAAGAGCAACTGATAAACGCTGGTGTACTATAAGAAATTTTGGTGTTTTTCCTCTTGTTAGAAAATTTGTTTCTTGTACAATTTGTGTATGTGTGTTACCTTTATAGTTCCTTGTACGAGGGAGATGGTAAATGTGTCAAACTGTACCCAGCGTAATAGATGTAGTTCCGTTTACCCATATCTGTATATCAAATTTATTCAGATAATTCTGTTTAACTAAATTGAGCTTGATTCTGAGATCGTTCTGATGGGAAAAGAAGATACTAAAATATCTAAAGTACTTATGAAGTAATTGAATGTTTCCGACTCCATTACAACAACCCGTCCACAACAGCCTTTGAAGGTGAACATGTTAGGATTTTAGTTTTGGCTATTTTGGCTGTTGTTAGCCTACGTGGATGAATATCTTACAATTGGCGACTTAACAGTAGTATGGGTCTATACAACCAGACACTGCTAAACTGCGCGGTACTCTGTCCAAGGCCGTGCCAAGAAGGTCAAAACAACGTTCATAAATAATCGATAGAAGAGATATCGGAAACGTACCACAATGCCCACGAGGGTAGTCTGTTGTCGAAGAATACGTTTGGATGGCATTGCCGTCTTATCTTTTACAATTTCTTGCCTTTACTGTTTACAATACACTCTTTAGTGTCATACAATGCCGCACATTAGCTTCCAAAATGCCAGTCCCTAAAGGCCAGTAGTTGTGTATTTCCTACGCAAACAAATTATACGTGAGAGTATTTTGATTGGTAGGACGCAATAAAACTGCAAACTGACTGAAATTATTGTCGTACATGCTCCTGGGAATATTTGATTAAGTACTTACCTTAAATATCAAGAATAATGCAGCCAGAACCCACCCATTAGTTTTGATTGTTTTCTCTTTTGTTCCACTTTTCGTTAATTGCCTGGTTTCGGGCTAACTGTAGCAAGTGAAAACGCCAGCATTCTGTAATATAAGGTCGGTAGTAGTAAGGATTAAAGACTTGGGAGATATCAGGGGAAAGAAAAATAATTAAAAAGTAGAGCGCATAAAAGTAGAAAATAATAGGAACAATTATTTTAAAAGAAATTTTTGGCAAGAAAAAATCCCATAATTAAAATAAAAACAGCTAATAGGAAATAAATTTCGGAACTGGGTAAATTTCAGACCTGCGCAAAGAAGTAAATTAAACTAAACTTAAACTAAAAAAACTAGTAGTAAACATCGGACGCTGAAGATTTCCGTGTGGGGAGTGCAATGAGTCGTAACTTTGTGGTCAGAAAAACATGTTTCTACTTCAAAATAAGTAGGCAATTATGCGATGTGAGCATAGTGATTCCTGAACCAGACTGTCACCCAGGTTTATTTCTACTACACGTGAACAAATGTCTGATCATTTTAGACAGCGAAACGTTAATGCTTAATCATGATCTGATGGTGTGTCAAGCAAGGGATATGCCAAAATTGCGAGCCAATTTGAAGTGGTTACAATGCAAATGTTGCCCACGTCTATGGAACATCAATTTTCGCTACGACCGCGCTCTCCTCTTTTGACTTATTAACATCGCAACCCCTGTCTATTGAGGTGCAGTATCGCGCGGGGGCTCAATAAAAGACGGAAAGAGGGTTCTTAATGTGTGCGTGATTTAGAAGTCCCAAGGTCACAAAGAACGCTGTGGCTTAGTCTTGTGCGCTTTCCTTAGCACCCACAAGCTACTTTTTGTCAAACCTTAAGCAAATTAGTTTGATTCATCCTTTAATGTTACAATCAGACATGGCGCGTCTGAACAGGTAAATATGGCATCGGTTTTCAAACCATGCAATGAATACAGGAGAGATTGTTTGATCTTATATACACTCCCACAGTTTGTTGCGGATGGTTGAGACTTTACCTCCTACTAGTCTTCTTTTA